TTTCCTTTCCTTTCCTTTCCTTTCCTTTCCTTTCCTTTCCTTTCCTTCCCTTCCCTTCCCTTCCCTTCCCTTCCCTTCCCTTCCCTTCCCTTCCCTTCCCTTCCCTTCCCTTCCCTTTCCTTTCATTTCCTTTCCTTTCCTTCTATTTCCTTTCCTTTTTGTTTCTTTCTTCTTTTTGTTTTGTTCACACACATATACCCAGACACAGGCAAACATGCATACACGCACCACAAACGTTCACATGAACAAAAGAGAATCCTCAGTTCAGCAGTTTATTAAAATTCTGTCTTGAAGTTCATCTTTAAATCTCTAGACTTACGTATTCTTCATATTTTTGTAGACTTGCCATTCTTCCTCAGTTGTGATGAATGCATATTTTCTCTGAGTGTATACTTAGCATTGACAACAAATGAAGTCTTTTAGTGTCAAGGTGGTTTTCCTTTGCTAACCATGGCATCATTCCTGGAATTGCTAATGCTGCTGTGTTTACTACTTTTTAAAAAAAACTTTGTGGCACTTTTTTGAGTCCCACAGCTCCTTCACTACAAAGGCATGATTGGATCAGAAATCACACTTAGTCTTTTGTTGCTCAGTCAATACAATACACAAGGAAAATGTGCTTGATGGCATGTTCAGGTCTGTGGATATCAGCCATATGGAACTCCAGTGGAGTCAAATGTCTCCTGAACTATTTCACCAGATGTCTACCAAGTACAAACTTGGTATACTTTTGACCTGTATGGAAGTGTTGAATGTTTATGGTAGAGACCTGTGAGTGCAGAACACATCACAGAGACACGGGCCTTCATCATTTTCTCTCTGCTCTGAGACTACCCCATGCCTTTGTGTTTCCCTTAACACTAGGTGACAATCCCAGAATCCAAGCATCCAATCTGACCAGGAAGTGCATCAGACTTTTCTTCCCTAAACGGAAGTGTTTTGTTTTTGATCAACCAACATGTGACAAAGCACTCTTACGCAAGCTTGATACTATCTCAGAAGAACAACTGGATCCTATGTTCCAGGAACAAACAAGGGCTTTTGTTTCTTACATCTTCACTGATGCAAAGATCAAGACGCTCAGAGAGGGAATTAAGGTCACTGGGAATCGTGAGTGATTCTGTTTTTGAACACACTTCTGCATAGAGTAGTATATGTTGAAATTAGTATTTGCATTTTTAAAAATTATCTATACAGTGATAATATGCTTGTGTCTCTACTCTGAAAAACTTATATGTTTTTATAATTGACTGTACATTACAAATCCTTCTTTAAAAATGCAGACTTCATCACTAGTATCTATAGCTACACAAACCTTTATGAAATTCTCAACTGATAATAAAATCACAAATGAAAATGTACTTGTTTAAACTGCTAAAGTTGATGTATTTTATTTTCAGTGGGGGTGATTTGTATATGAATTATTCTTTGTGATGACAACGTGAAATGCAATTTGGAAACTGAAATAGTTACAACATAAGTACTAGTGTTTAAACAATGTAAATCCATACTTTTAAGATTTAATGGTATATTTTTCCTTGTGTGTTTATGTTAGTTTATCTATTTTAATGAATTTCAAGATTTAAATGCAAAATTAAATTTTTTATAGATAATTGAATTTATTGGTGAAGATTGATATTAATTTTGACTAGAACTAGAAAACCACAAAAACAAAAGGACTATGAAAAAGATGATGTCTTGTTGTAGGAGATTGCTAGTTTGTGTTTATGAGTTTGCATTATAGCTCTGAAAGAGTAGAAATCTAGTCTTAAACCTGGATCCCTGATACTTATAACTTCATACTTATCCCTTGAAACCCTGGGTTACTGAAGTACTAGGGACTCTGGTGACGACCTACGTGGGTGCCATCAACAGTGGAGCTGTGCCTTGTCTGGATGATGCGGTGACAACTCTGGCCCAGCGTGAGAACTCAGCAGCTGTGCAGAAGGCAGCTGACCACTACAGTGAGCAGATGGACCAGCGACTGATGCTCCCCACAGACACGCTCCAGGAGCTGCTGGATGTGCACACAGCCTGTGAGAAGGAAGCCATTGCTGTCTTCATGGAGCATTCATTCAAGGACGAAACCCAGCAATTCCAGAAGAAGCTGCTGGTAATGTTGGTGTCATTAACTCTCATGACTCTGTCCTTTCAAGGCTGTGGCGCTGCTGTGCCTTCATGATCCTGGGTATGTGATTCATTGAAATTTGAGCACTCAATGTGGTCATAGTGAACACAGTTGTGAAAGACTCATGGCCCCTTCTCAAACTTCAGTTGCTTTTTATCTAGAAATCTCTATTGACTGGAACAATGAGAATATAATGTTCTAAATCCTTCATGCAGTTAATATCGGTGGTTTCCACTCCGGCCCACAACACCTGTAGCTCATCCCTGAACTTGCTACATTCTTCTGTTCCTATGAAATAGTTTTGTCTCACAAGAGGCCCACTGCAGGTCACCGTTCTATTGCTCCTTGTCATATCTTCGTGTCATTGAAGACAGAATTACAAGATGGGACCCCAATAGGAACCAGAGATTGTAGCATGCAGAATCATCATTTTACAGAAGGTCCCAAGGACTAGGAACTTCAAGAACATTTACTGTGGTCTTGTACAGATTTCTTCGAATTCTAATTCAGGCATTAGCATCTTACATTTGCTTATGGCCTTATTACACTAGAATACTTTCTTGTGAGTAATAGGTTGACTCATATACAAAGGTTCTTGGAACTTTTTCCCTTCTGTTCCTTCAACATGTCAGATCTCTGTCCATTTACCTTGTAGGAATTAATAGATGAGAAGAAAAGGATGTTTATGTTGAAGAATGAAGAAGCATCAAATTATTACTGTCAGGAAGAACTGAATCGGCTTTCAAAAGCTTTTATGGAAACTATTTCAACATTTTCTGTTCCTGGAGGACACAAGCTCTACATGAAAATGAGGGAGAAGATTGAGCATGACTATTGGCAGGTGCCCCGGAAAGGGGTGAAGGTGAGGAGCAGGGAGCATGGGGAAGGGGTGAGGAGTAGGGATTGTCGAGAAGAGGTTAGGTGTAGGGAGCATTGATGCTCATGGCAGAAGTAAGACGGTGTCATAAAACAAAAGCACACAGAACTTTCTAAGTGGAATAAGAAAACACACAGATAGCATGGCATCTCTAGCTTCATGTTGGTGTTGGTGACCAAAACAGGGCTTTGCAGTGCAAGCAAGTGCTTTACCCTCAAGCCCCATCACCTGAATTGTGCTTGACTTAAATGGATGCTATTGACTGTTAATTCTGAGAAATATTCACATAAAAATTCTCAGTAACAAGATTTCAAGTTTGTCAGGATGGTCTACCTGTGAGCTCCTAATAAATATAAGAATACAGCTAACATATTATGCTGTTGTTGGAAATGACACCATGGTGAGTTCTTTCCTCAGTCCTTTCTTTAGTTATGTAAAATGTTTGGGTGTTGCCCACTACTACTAGGAGAGTTTGCACATTTGTACCTTGAAGTCCAGGCAGTTAGACCATGAACAGAGCCAACAAGAGCAGAAAAAGTGAAGCCCACTCAGTTATGCAGCATTTTACATGGGGATACAATATTTGAAAACTTCATAGATCACTGTGCTTAAATCTGCACATGATGTGGACAGGAGTGATCTGGGAGCAGGAGGTGGCAGGTGGCCCTAGTGCGGATGATAGAGGGAACCATGAACCCAGAAGTATCTAGTGCTAGTGAAGAGCAGGGCAGTCTGCAGGCTTCACCATAGCATTTGACAGTGAGGCACAGTGGAGACTGTGTTAACTCACTCGGGTTCTCTCCCAGGATGCATCAAGGTCTTTGCTTCTTCTTGGTCTTGCAGGCAAGTGAAGTCTTCCAGAGCTTTCTGCAGTCACAAGCCATCATTGAGAGTTCTATCCTGCAGGCAGACACAGCCCTAACTGATGGAGAGAAGGCCATTGCAGGTACAGGAGCATGTCTCTTGGCTTTCAGCAGGGGTTAGGTTCCCACAAGGCTTCCTGGGGCCACAGTAAACCCATTCCCAGATTAGCAGCTCTCTAGCCTTCTGTGGAAGCTCACTCTACAAGCAACAGAAAGTCAGTCTGTGTTTCAGCCAGATGGGCAGGGTCTCCTCATCCCCTCCAGAAACACTCTGTCCATTGTGTGGACCAGTGTGGAGTCTGTGGTTTCCTCAGATCTGAATTTCTTTTTGAGTTTCGAAATGTAGACATTTTACTTAACCCATCATTTCTCTCCCCCACCATCCGTCCTCAATCTCCCATCACGTTCTTCCCCCCTTAATCCTCCTGGGGCAGAGGGGCGGGCCCAGAGGGAGGAAGCTGAAAAGGAACTGGAGCTGCTAAGACAGAAACAGGAGGAACTTCAGCAAGTGATAGAGGCTCAAGAAAGAAGTTACAAGGAAAACCTTGAGCAGCTAAAAATGAAGCTGATGCAGGAGCAAGAACAGCTCATAAAGGACCATAACATAATGCTGGAGAGGCAGCAGCAGGTAGGACTCCTCCTCCCCATGGTCCTTGTCATACCCTTGGCAGCAGGAGAAATTATGTAGCCTGCTCATGAATGAAAACACCTCCCAAAGGTATTGTTGATAAGGACGTTTCCCCTCAGGCTTTCTTTTGCTCTTTTAGTATTTGAATGACTGCAATAGTTTGATACACCAATTCAGTATATTTAAAAACAAACTCAGGGGTACTCACTAAATGATTCCCAACCGGTTAGGCAGCTTAATAAGGACAACAATGGGCTTGGGTTATCAAGGCCCACATTATCAGCACCTGACACCCACGCTCCCACTCTGAGAATGACCTATGCTGACATAAAACTGAAAGAAATATCCGTACTTAAAAGAGCAGATAATTGACCTCTTCTGCAGGTCCTGTAGCTGTCTGCAGAGTGCACAGCCTGCTTGAAGCAGCGCATGGCAGGAGAGTGATTCTCTCATTGCCCAACTACAAATAAAATAGTAACAGATTTGTAAAACAACTGATTGGTTGCCACTGTCTGTATGACGTGGTTGCCACACTGTCTCAGTGGATTGAGCTCCCCACAACCGGACCAGTTGCATCTCAGTGGGCATGAGTGTAGAAATGTCTTCACACCCCTGCCAGCATTACAACCAAGCAGACATGATGGATCAACCCCAGTGAAGTTTCCACTATTCTTCCTCACAGTGGGTAGGATTAACTCAGAGAACCTTCTTCATGGAAAGGGAAATAATTTAGGGCTACTGTAAGGACCATTTGCCAAATGTTTGAAACTATAACTTGTACAATGTTGAGATTTTACAATATTTTCTTCTCTCTCATGTTCACCGTTTTTAGCATCAAAAGGCTTTGCTTGAAGAAGGATTTAGGAAGCAAGCTGAGGAAATGAATGGAGAAATACAGCGGCTGAGATCTACTATCAATGACCTGAAAGAAAACAGTGGTACCTTTGTAGGTCATGTTCTAAAGGAAGTTGCCACACTGCTTGCTGCCCCTGTTTCACTGCCCGTGATGGCTGTAAAAAGCATTTTTTCAGCATTTCAATAGGATTCACTCTTATTTTGATGAAGTGGTAGACCGTAAATTTATACTCTGCCTTTTTATGAAGCTTCATGTTTTCATTTTCATTCAGCAAATTTCTGCATTAAAAGTGCTAATTAGAGGACATGTATGCCTGCCCCACATTAGATAGAACATATACATGTCTGCACAGACAATGCTTTCTTCAGGGCACAAATGTTTAAACCATTCCTATGGAAGCTATGTGATTACTCATTGTACACTGTCACAGTGACTGTTGTCAACTTATAGTTATGGCTGGTTATAGAATCACCCAGGACACAAGCTCTTCTACACCCTGTGGGGACATCTTGACTAGGTTAGCTTGTGGGGAATCATCTCTGGTCACTATGGTAGCAAACCCATCCCAAATGTGGGCACCACCATTCCTGTGACCTGGGAAATCAGTTAATAGGTGAAAATAAGCTGGGCACTAACATGTACCACTTGTTACTTCCTGACTGGATGTCATGTGATCAGCCACCCTCTACTTTTTTCTGATCAGCCACCCTCTACTTTTCTCTGCATGCATTCTCTGCCATGCTATGAGTGCCATCTGGAACCATGAACCATGAACAAACCCTGTCTTTCTTAAGTTGCTTTGGTTGAACCATCTTGTTACAGCAAGAAGAAAAGGTATTGATATCATTGGTGATAAATCTGGAACCTACTTAAGCATCATTTAGAAAAGATTGGTAACAAATTGTAATATGCCCTGATCCTGGATTGCTGTATAGTCAAGAAACAAGTGTTAGACATGCTTCCTGTACACTAACGTAAATAGATCATAAAAATGTCTTATTAAATAAAATAAAAATTCCACATAACAGTGTGATTAATTTTAAAATTAGTTGTATTCCATGCACATGTACAGGAGCATAGATCAAGTATCTTCCAAAAAATTAATGTAAAATGTGATCCTTTGGCTTCCACTAGAAAAAACAAGTTGAAATCAAAAGTCGAAGGGACACATGCATTTCCTTATTACTCAGTCTCATAGGTTTCTTGAAGAATACTGGGAAAACACGACATTTTCACATGATAAGAAATTTGGTTCTTGTTTCCACAGAAGATGAGAAGGTATGGATTCCTTCCAGGTTAATATGGTTTTAATGAGCAAAATCCTCTGAAAGATACGCAATGGGAACAATGGCCCAGGGGATTCAGTATTCAAAATAACTATAAGGCTACAGGCTGAGTTGGATCAACCATACAAAATACCACATTCAGGACTTGACCTTAATTCTAAATATTCTCATGATTCCCATAAGATTACCAGCATGCCCAATCAGGAGGAAGTAATATAGAAAACTACACCAAAATTCTCAAAATATTGTTTATGACTGTTTGTTTTCATTTAAAGGAGGCTGGTTATAAATGGTTTATGGTAATAGTCAATCTATTTCTTAGGAAATTAAAGGAGGATGTTAATGGCTATGTTAAAAGTCCAGCTTCCAAGGATCCCTCTTAGTGTTCAAAGGGAACTAAAATCTGAGGACTAAAAATCTACACACAGTATGTTCTTTCGATCCATGTCTCGGTATTTTTCTCTCTTCCTTGTATTCTATTCTAACTTTTATGTCCTAACTGTCTATGATTTCTTATCTCTAATTCTCTGTCTCAATCCTAGTTTACATTCCAATTCTCTGCTATATTCCTTTTCTTCTTCATTCTCATTTTCCTCTCTCTGCTAATATCTGGAGCACCTTTGCTCTAACTTATGCTCCAGCTTCTGTCTGTCCCTGCTCCTGTCTTTTCCTGCTTCTTCCTTTCTCTTTGTTCTTACCCAGCTATATAGACTCACAAAATCTTGTAGGTATAGGTAACCAGGCAACCCATGTAAACAGAAAAGGGAAGTATATTAGCATTTTTTATCAAATGTTTGTGAGTTTCAGTGTTATCAATCTCTTAAGCTTGATGCTTATCACAGGTGCCAGTGAAGGTGTGTCTTCCTGTGGGCTGTGAGTAGATGGTTAATTCATTTTCCTGAGAGTAAGGCACAAGCAGTAAATCTACTGAACTAAAATCTTCAGTACACTGAGGTGAAGCTGAGGTGAGGATTTAGGAATCTTTTAATGCAAGGTTTGTTTGAGGTCATTGCTTTCTTTATCTGTATGTGAGGTAAAACTAAGGCATGCATATTTCTTCTTTCTCTGTGAGCTGCTATGAATTAGCAGCTTTGAGTGAGTAGTAATTCTATGTCCTTGAATATCTTGGAATTACTAAATGAAACGCTTTTGCCTTGACCTTAAATGCGGACCAAATGCCTGTCATTAAAGATAATTGCAGGAACCAGAACCTGGAAACAACCGAAATGCCCCTCGACCAAAGAAAGGAAAAGCAAAATGTGGTACAATTACAGAATAAAGTACTATACAGCAGAAAAAAAGAACGACACCTTGAATTTTGCTGGCAAATGAATAGAGGTAGAAAAAAATCATTTTGAGTGAGGTAACCCAGACCCAGAAAGACAGTTATCACATGTGCTCACTCAAAAGTATTTTTAAATGTAAAACAAAGAAAATCAGCCCACAAATCACAATCCCAGAGAACCTAGACAACAATGAAGACCTTAAGAGAGACATACATAGTTCTTATCTACATGAGAAATAGAAAAAGACAAGATCTCCTGGATAAATTGGGAGATGGGGACCTTGGGGAAAGTTGAAGGGGAAGGGGAGAGGCAGGGAGAGGAACAGAGAAAAATGTAGAGCTCAATAAAAATCAATAAAAAAGATAATTGCAGGAAGGCAGATCTCCATGTTTACATTGGAGAAAAAAAGAAGACCTGGCAGTGGGAAGCAGGTTTCTTGTCTGTGTGACTGTCTTCACACAAAGCTCTTATTGTGCTGAAGTGTGAAATAAATCTCAACAGACTAGGAGTCAGCTACATTTAAAAATCTACAGCAAAAAGACCACATTATTCACAAAGAGCCCTATATTTTGGTTTAAAACCTCAACCAAAATTGCCTGGCTCTGAGTCACTCATAAAATGACAGTGATCTGTCTAATTACTATAAAACATTGCAAAGTAGCAGGATATGATATACAAAGGGTAGATTTTTTAAAAATTGGTTTAATTAAAAAATAAATGATGCAAAGTACTTTACATTGTATGGATTTTGGTTTATTGACACAAATTTGTGGTAACAGAATTTTTAAATTCTGTTAAACTATATATATATATATATATATATATATATACACACATTTCTTCTCTTGGTTAAGGTATTATTTTTATGCTGTATATTTAAAAATGTAATGTATAGTTAAGACATACAAATTAATCATCATGTATAATTATGATACTTTTAGTTACCTTAGTTAAGTTTTCTAGATATACAGAAATATGTTCCAGAAGGATTGGTAACATTCAAACGACCTACATAATTTAGCATTGAAAATGTTTCAAGAACTTTCAACTTTTTCAACAGCGAGACATGTCTCTCCTGGCTGCACTAATTGTTTCAAGAGAATGGAGGAATGGAATTTTTTTTTAATGTGGCGAGGTTAACTCTTTGGTCAAGAAACTGCTGTTGCCTGGGGTACTTGAAAATATTCTGTATAAAATGGACTTGCAGGACTCACAAGAAAAGGATGTGTGAATTTGCTAAAACAAAGTGTGACAGTCCTTGAGGGTTCTTGCTTCGTGAAAGAGTCTGCTAGACATTTTGCAGGACACAGAAGAAAACGGCTGAAACATTTTTCCAAAACTGGCCAGACAGTCCTTCAAATTTTCCGTTTCACTGAAAAATCTGTGAGATAATCTAGGCCCGTAGGAGGAAGATGGATGCCCCAACATTAGAGCAGAACTTTGAATGAATGTCCAGCTAGCCAGATACCTCTGTGATTTCTAGAAGAGAAATTGAAAGATAGTTTCTGCACAAGTTTTTATGTTACCTGGAAAGTGAGAAAGAAGGCAGGAGGCTGAAATACTGAAGAGAAGTGAAGGAAAAGAGGACTTTGTCTAAAGTAAAAATGCTTAAGGAATCAAAGAAAGGGACTAAAGGTATATAGAAAGTTGTAGAAGGACAGAGGGGATGTGAACTACATCTCCTATGGTTTCTTTACATATATAAAAAACTTCTACCTCCTCCCTGCCTCCCTTTTACTTCCCCCTCCCCCCTCTAGTCTTAAGAGCAGTCAGGGTTCCCTGCCCCGTGGGAAGTCCAAGGTCCTCCCCGCTCCATCCAGGTCTATCAAGGTGAGCATCCAAACAAACCAGGCTCCCACAATATCAGTCCATGCAGCAGAATAAAAACCCAGTGCCATTGTCCTTGGCCTCTCAGTCAACCTTCATTGCCAGCCACATTCAGAGGGTCCAGTTTGATCACATGCTCTATCACTCCCAGTCCAGCTGGCCTTGGTGAGCTCCCATTAGATCAGTCCCACCATCTCAGTGGGTAGACGGACCCCTCATGATCCTGACTTCCTTGCTCATGTTCTTCCGTCTTCTGCTCCTCATTTGAACCCTGGGAGTTCAGTCCAGTGTTCCAATGTGGGTCTCTGTCTCTATCTCCATCCATCGCCAGATGAAGATTCTATGGTGATATGCAAGATATTCATCAGTGTGGCTGTGGGACAAGGCCAGTTCAGGCACCTTCTCCTCTGCTGCTCAAGGAACAATCTGGGGACCTCTTTTTGGACCTGGGAACCCCTCTAGAGACAAGTCGCTTGCAAACCCTAAAATGGCTCCCTTAATTAAGATATTTACTTCCCTGTTCCCATATCCACCCTTCCTCAATCCTACCCATCCCATTCTCCAAAGCTCTCCTGAATCCTTCCCTTCTCCCTTCTCTCTACCCATCTCCCCTTACATCCACCCCCCCACACTCCCGTGCACCCAAGTTTTGCCTGGCAATCTTGTCTACTTCCAATATCCAGGAGGATAACTATATGATTTTCTGTGGGTTCACCTTCTTATTTAGCTTCTCTGGGATCACTAATTATAGACTCAATGTCCTTTAATTATGGCAAGAATCCACTTATGAGTGAGTACATACCATATTCCTCTTTTTGGGTCTGGATTACCTCACTCAGTAAAGCATTTTCTATTTCCATCCATTTCCATGCAAAATACAAGATGTCATTGTTTTTGACCACTGAGTAAAACTCCAATGTGAATATGTTTCATACCTTCTTTAACCATCATCTATTGAGGGGCACCTAGGTTGTTTCCAGGTTCTGGCTATTACAAATAGTGCTGATTTGAACATATTTGAACAAATGCTTTTGTAGTAAGATAGGCCATCTCTTGGGTATATTCCCAAGAGTGGAATTGCTGGGTCCTGAGGTAGGTTGACTCCCAGTTTCCTGAGAAACTGTCACACTGACTTCCAAAGTGGCTGCACAAGTTTGCATTCCCACCAACAATGGATGAGTGTTCCCCTCACTCCACATCCTCTCCAGCAGAGGCTATCTTTGGTGTTTTTGATTTTAGCTATTCTGACAGGTGTATGATGGTATCTCAAAGTTGTTTTGATTTGCATTTCCCTGATTGCTAAAGAGGTTGAGCATGACCTTAAGTGTCTTTTGGCCATTCAAAGTTCTTCTGTTGAGAATTCTCTGTTCAGTTCAGTACCCCATTTTTTAATTGAGTTACTTAGAGGTTTAGTGTCTAGTTTCTTGAGTTCTTTGTATATTTTGGAGATCAGACCTTTGTCTGATGAGGGGTTGGTGAAGATCTTCTCCCAATCAGTAGGTTACCTTTTTGTCTTACTGACAGTGTCCTTTGCTTTACAGAAGCTTCTCAGTTTCAGGAGGTCCAATTTATTCATTGTTGCTCTTATTGTCTGTGCTACTAGGGTTCTACCTAGGAAGTGGTCTC